TTTCAAAAGAAGATTCTAGAAGTTGTATATTGATTTTTTAAAAAGGTGGAAAAGGCATCACTTTACAACCCCTACTCACTCCACACCTTCTTCTGTCTGTGGCAACAAATCTTAGCTTAGTTTCCACTTCTTCTATAAGCCTTTACTGACCAATCCAGTGGGAATTTTTTCTTTCCACTTAGGATTCTATATTCAGATTGATGATAAGGATAAATGGTATAAATGCAAATAAATTAAAATCAAAATATAGCCCTTAAAATTTGTTTTGGAAATGGGCATTTGTTTTACTCTCCAGGTCTCAAAGGATACATTTAATTATTCCCATTCAGTATGTCTGTAATGTTCAAAAAATTAGGTCTCTCAGGCTGTACTTGCTATCAATGCCAAGTAAATCCCCTCAGAATTATTTAAATATTTAAACCATTCTCTGTTAATGATATAAATATTATCACTGACCTGTTGGTAGAAATATTTCCCTAACCATTCAAAAGGATAGAGTTTTATTTCTGGATCTACTTTAAAAATCAGCACCAGACAACCAACTAGCTTTTATAAAACTCTTAACAGGGAAATCCAGGTGAGCGAGTATTTAAAATTTTTTTTTAGTGGAAATATTAACCCCCAGAAACATTTCTTTAAATTCTTTAAGGTTTTTTTGGTTGCAATTCCTATCTTTCAATCTTTTAAGTTCTTTTAAGTCTTTAATGTAAAGTCTAATGTGTAAGAATTAGACAAATGACTATAATTCATTTGTATCACTTCTGAATTTAAGAGAAGCCTAAATTTACCAAAAATAAATAAGTAAAGGTGTACTTTTATAGTAATAACAGAAAACATTAACAGTATTTTTGAAACTTCTTTAAGTAATATGGTTTGCAATATAACTTATAACAACAGATGAAATAGATTATTAGTCTCTATAATGAAATGATGTTTAAACTGTGTTGGACATTCCCTATATATTAAGCAAATCATATGAGAAAGTAATATACAGTTAACCCTTGAACAATGTGGATGCTAAGGATGCTGACCCCATGTATAATTGAAAATCCACATATAAGTTTTGACTCCCAAATCTTAACTACTAATAGTAGTAGTTAACCAGAACTGCTCACTAGAAGCCTTTCTGACAACATAAACAGTCGATTAGCACAAATTTTTTGTTATACTGTATTCTTACAATAAATCAGCTAGAGAAAAGAAAATATACTAGGAAAATCATAAGGAAGAGAAAACACATTTACATTACTATACTGTATGGAAAAAAATCCATGTTTAAGTGGACCTGCACAGTTCAAGTCTGTGTTGTTCAAGGATCAGCTGTAATTTTAAGCCATTCTTTTAAAACCTTGATGTAATTTGAGGGAACTTTCTAGTTTCTCTTTTGATTCTTAGAGAAATAAAATATCAGTGTAAGACTTACTTCTGTCTGACTAATTATAATCAACTAGGAAAACTAAAGGAAATCTTACTATTTTATGTAACTTCAAGTTGGTAAGTGTAAGGCATTTATTGAAAAAAATATTCAAATTATATAGGTTTAAAATATTCATTTTTAGACATCAGGTTTCCAAAAGTAAGTCATTTAATGAAAAACTAATTCAAAATATAGAGACTTCAAATGTTCTTTTTTTAAATACTGTTCCTAAAGGAATCAATCCAAATTAGTCTGAGATTTAAAAGTTAATAATATTTTCAGGAAGGCAAAAGGGAAAAGGTCTTCTTATATCTCTCGAAAATGCCTTTCCTCTGTTCCTGGAATACAAAGTGTGGTTATGGTCAATGAATATCCAGAAAACTATCAATGTGGAAATGTCCAGAGGATCAATTGAGCTAAGAAAGTATGTAGCACAGAGCAGGCATTAAGTAAATACCACATCAATGAACAAATGATTCTTGAATTAACTAAAATAAGCAAAGGTAGATTGAAATAAAGTATTCTTCAATAAATTAGAACTCTGTTAATAAGGAAAAATGTAAGGGATAAATCACTGATATTTCTAAAAAATACTCAAATTTTAACAAATTATAAAAGCTTAAAATATCATGGAAATACTTGACACTGAAAAGAGTAAAACTTGACACCAAAGAGTCATTGCTTTACATAGAGACAAGTTTCCTTAAGAATACATTACCACAAGATATGAATATCTTCCTGAATGACTCTAGACACACGCAAGATTGCCAGCAAATTATTATTATTTATAACCGTAAATGTCATGATCACAGAGATGGAGCAGATACTTCCTCAATACATCCATTGTGATGTTAGCCACAATAAAACTGTAAAGTGCAGAAAACATTAATTAGATCCCTAATGATTATTGAGGGGTAATAAGTTATAAAACAGCAGACCTAGAGCATATCATTGAATTTATTTAATAAAAATTTTGTATTCTGGAGAGCCTACGTGATCCAGTTGGTTAAGCGACGGCCTTCGGCTCAGGTCATGATCCCAGCGTCCTGGGATTGAGCCCTGCATCAGGCTCCCTGCTCCACGGGGAGACTGCTTCTCCCTGTCCCACTGCCTGCCCCTTCCCCTGCTTCTGCTCTCTCTCTCTGTCAAATAAATAAATAAAATCTTAAAAAAAAATTTTTTGTATTCTGTTTATAAAAGTAATATTCATTGTAGAAAATTTGAAATAGAGGAAAATATAAAGAAAAAAGTGACCTATAATTCCCATTGCACAGAGAAAACCAGTATTAACATTTTGATGTGTTTCTGTGTTGCTTTTCCTTTATATTCATAGTAAGTATTTATTTCTAAATTAGGATTATTCTGTATATGAACATTATATTTTATTTTTCACATGTTTTATCATGTCTATTTTATCATTATATTAAATATTAAATAATGATTGCACAATATACCATAATATGGATATTCACACTTACTTAATCATACTGAGCAAATGTTTACCATTTAGGTGTTTTGAATTTTTCACTATTATAACTTTACAATGGACATCATTATATGTAAGTCTTTATCTGAGGTTCTAATTATTTCTTTTTTTAGTTTAATTTAATTTTATTATGTTATGTTAGTCACCATACAATACATCATTAGTTTTTGATGTAGTGATCCATGATAACTATTTCTTCCTGTGAGACTCGTAGCTACTGGTCACAGGGCATGAACAGTTAAGAGTTTCGTTAACTTATTACCTAATTATTTTCCAATGATTGCACCAATTTATACTTCTACTAAGCATGCATTTGGGTTCCCACCTCACTGTATTTTAGATTACAATAAATTGTCATTTCTTTTTTAAAAAATTCTATTTTGATAACCAAAATTAATTTGCTTTCATAACTTAAAATGATTTTTTTTGATTAGTAATGAAATAAAACATTTTTATTTTGTTAAAATTGTATTTCCTTTGAGATTTTTCTGTTCCTTTCCTTTTTCTTTTTTTTAGTGATTATTCCTGCTGATTTCTATAAGCTATTTCTAGAATAAAACTATAGAAACATTATCATATTTATTGCAATAATTTGCCAGTTTGCATTTGACATTTGATTTTACTCATGATGTTTTTGACATATAGTTATATAATTATCAATTTTTAACCCTTAATATTTCTCCAATTTCTTCTGATAGCATTTAAATTTCTTATGCATATATGAATAACTTTACATTGAATGCATAAATAGTATTATAAATAACCTGGAAGATTTTACATACAGCCTCATTTTTCCTTTTCCCTCTTCCTCTCTCTCCTGCCTGCTTCCAACCACATCACTTTCCCTTCCCACCCTTCAGGGTTTTAAAAACCTCATAAATAGCACTACTTTTTTCCCAAAAAGCATTTTATTTTTAAATATATATTCTACTATCATTGATGATAGTAAATTGCTAAGAATTTGCAAATGAAGGGACACCTGGGTGGCTCAGTCGGTTAAGCAGCTGCTTTTGGCTCAGGTCATGATCCCAAGGTCCTAGGATAGGGCCCCACATCGGGCTTTCTGCTCAGCAGGGAGCCTGCTTCTCCCCTGTCCGCCACTCCCCATGCTTGTGATTGCTCTCTCCCTCTCTCTCTCTGTATCAAATAAATAAATAAAATCTTAAAAAAAAAAGAATTTGCAAATGAAAATAATCTTTTAAAAAATTTTTTATGGTGGTAAAATACACATAAGAAAATTTTAACCATATTTTAGTATATAGTTTAGTGACATTAAGTATATTTATATTGTTTTGTAACCATCATCACTATTTCCAGAATTTTTTTACCATGCCAAAATGAAACTCCATACATATTAAACAATAACCATCCATTTCCTCCCTCTTGCTGACAACTATCATTCTACTTTTTGTCTCTATGAATTTGATGACTTTAATTCATGTAGGTGGAATCATACAATATTTGTCCTTTTGTGTCTAGTTTATTTCACTTAACATAACATCTTCAAGGTTCATCCATGTTTTAACATATGTCAGAATTTCATTCCTTTTTAAGGTTGAATAATATTTCATTGTACATATATACCACATTTTGTTCATCCATTCATTCATCAATAGACATTTGGGTTGTTTCCAGCTTTCGCTATTGTGAATAATGCTGCTTTGAACATGAGTGTATGAAATAGTTTTCTCAACATCATTGTTTATCAGTACGTATACAATAACTGAAATTGTTTGGGAACACTGATGCTAATTGCTGACACTTGAATTATGAATCAGCTTTACCTAACCATATAGAGAAGTTTTTTGCACTGAATATTCCTCTTAAGACCTCAAAAGCCATCCCTGTGCATATAATCTGATATTTTTCTTGAAAATATGCTGGAAGAATGTTAAAAGAGTAGCTACACATGTAATAGCTTCAGGAGATTGATACTACCACAGAACTGGGCATGTGCCATGTCCCACACAACCTATGAAAAGCCTTATATAATATGCTCCTCATCCTTCTGAATCAGTTAGCTTAGCAGTCAAATTGGGCATATTACAAATTAGTACCTTATTTCTCCATAATTTTTTCTCAACAGAGAAGTCAGGAATGGCTGAAGAAAATCATACCATGAAAAGTGAGTTTTTCCTCACAGGATTTACAGATCACCCAGAGTTGAAGAGCCTTCTGTTGGTGGTGTTCTTTGCCATCTATCTGATTACCATGGTGGGGAATTTGGCCTGGTGATACTGATTTCAAAAGAGCATCATCTTCACACACCAATGTACATCTTTCTGGGCAACCTGGCTGTTGTGGATTCTTGCTGTGCCTGTGCCATCACTCCTAAGATATTAGGGAATTTCTTTTCTGAGAACAGAATGGTTTCCCTCTATGAATGTATGGCACAATTTTATTTCCTTTGCACTGTTGAAACTACGAGCTGCTTTCTCCTGGCAGCAGCGGCCTATGATCGCTATGTGGCCATATGCAGCCCACTGCAGTACCACATCATGATGTCAAAGAAACTCTGCATTCAGATGACAACAGGAGCCTTCATAGCCGGAAATCTGCATTCCATGATTCACTTAGGGCTTCTATTTAGGTTAGCTTTCTGTGGATCTAATCACATTAACCACTTTTATTGTGATATTTTTCCTTTATACAGACTCTCCTGTGTTGACCCTTATGTCAATGAACTGGTACTATTTATCTTTTCAGGTTCAATTCAAGTCTTCACCATAGGCAGTGTCTTAATATCTTACTTCCACATTCTCTTTACTACTTCCAAAATGAAATCCAAAGAAGGAAGGGTCAAAGCCTTTTCTACCTGTGCATCCCACTTTTTATCTGTTTCATTATTCTATGGATCTCTTTTTTTCATGTACATTAAACCAAATTTGCTTGAAGAAGGCAATAGAGATATACCAGCTGCTATTTTGTTTACAATAGTAGTTACCTTACTAAATCCTTTTATTTATAGCTTGAGACATAAGGAAGTAATAACTGTCTTAAGAAAAATTCTGAAGAAAAAAGATTTCATGAAAGTTGGAAACAAATGACATCTACTGTAACTTAGTGATTTAAAAGTGGAAAATACTTCCAAGTGAAATTACACAGAGAAAATACACAAATTACATGTAAAATATTGAAATATATCATAATGAAATCAATTTAGGAAGTAATATATATGGGAGAAAATATACAGGAAAGAGAAAACTGTGATAAATCTTAATTCAAAATAACAAAAATCAAAACCAAACTTGTTATTCATTCAAGAAACAGTTTAGCATGTTGTCACGCTCATGGACTATGTTTGCATCAGGGATTGGGATTATCAGCCCCCAAAAGGAAAACAACAAAACTATCAGTTGCACATATAAAGAATTCTTTTTTTTTTTAATAAAAGATTTTATTTATTTATTTGACAGGGAGAGACACACGAAAGCAGGAACACAAGCAGGGGAGTGGGAGAGGGAGAAGCAGGCTCCTGGCCAAGCAGGGAGCCCAATGTGGGACTCGATCCCAGGACCCTGGGATCATGACCTGAGCCGAAGGCAGACTCTTAATGACTGAACCACCCAGGCACCCTACAGAAGAATTCTATTTAACATCTACAGCCAGTCCATGTTAATAGCTTGGAGCATGAGTACTCCAGTTAGGCTAAAAGACTTTAAGGGCATGTGAACCTTCAACCAATGAAATCACTCACAACCATGAGAGACAAAGGTGAAGCAAGTAAATTTGAGGAAGCAGTTTTAATAGCATTGTGGGGGACACTATCATTAGGATAGAGGTAGTAAGAAAATGAAGGCGTCAAATAAAAGTGAGTATTATATTTCCAAGTTAAAGTTCCAATGGAGTTGCAAAATTAGGCACAGAATGTCAACTTCAAGAGTAGTTATCTTCAGAAAGAGTTATTTACTCCCATATGTACACTCATAAAGATGCCATAACACAAAGTTCCAGGCAAGTAGTCAAACTTCATGTAAGATTTGAAGAGCCTCCATTGTCAGTGAGCTACATTCAACTTCTCTATTCTCCTTCTTGAAAGGTGAGGAAAGGGTTCAACAATAAGGACAATACTACATTATTTATAGACATGAAGGTATGATTGTTGAGTTGTGGGTAGGGCTTATTTACAATAATTCCCTTTTTTTTTTTCTTTTCACCATTGCAAAACCTGAAGTTGTGGAATGTAAGTAGAATTAAAGATTTTATTTATTTTTTAGAATTAAATGATTTTAATGTAACAAAATGAAAGAATTATTTTTCATTTATTTATTCAACATAGATTTATTGAGACCTTGCTATGTGGAAGCACTACTCTAGGTTCTGGGATATATCAGTTACCAAAATACCAGCTTTTCCATCTTCTTAATTAATAGAACATTGTCATGATTTTAATGACTAACTTCTGGATCAAGGAGAACCCATATGAAAAAGAAAAATCCCCCCTTCTACCTCTTCTCTTAATGCTCTGAGGTCACATCTAAATTCCCAAAAGGCAATTGTTGGGTTACAGCTCTGGTCCAGGCTAGCCAGCCACTGAAGCAGACTTCACATGAAAAATCAACAGGTTGAGTCTATTTAGAAAAAGTTGTGGGAACATAAATGCAGTATTTCCAATCCCCTAAATCATGAATACAAACTTATAATCACTTTGTTTCCATTTGTAACCTCCAAAAAATCTAATCTAGCTAATTCCATATAATTGACATTTCAAGATTTGAAATTGATACATTTCAAGATTTTCTTGGTTGTTTTTAATTTATTTTATTTTTTTAAGATTTTACTTATTTGTTTATTTTAGAGACAGAACACACAAGTTGGGGGAGGAGCAGAGGGGGAGGGGGAGGAGAAAAGATTCTTGAGCAGACTCCACATTGAGTTTGGACCCCAATTCAGGGCTCCATCTCAGGACCCTGATCACAACCTGAGCCCAAATCAAGAGTCAGAGGCTAAACCGACTGAGCCACCCAGGTGCCCCTTGTTGTTTCTAATTTAAACCTCATCAATTTAGTATTTGCCCAACCCTACCACCATCCTTCCTTGAGTGCATCTAAATGTATAGGTACTTGTCTGATATGGCATTAAAATGGTGTCATGTTGTGGTGCCTGGGTGGCTCAGTTAGTTAAGCATTTGCCTTCAGATCAAGTCATGATCTCAGGGTCCTGGGATGGAGTAACGTGTTGGGGTCCCCGCTCAGTGGGGAGCCTGCTTCCCCCATTCCCTCTCCCCAGCTCATGCTCACTCTCACTCTCTGTCAAATAAATAAATAAAATCTTTTTAAAATATGGTGTCATGTTACAGATTGAGCTCTGTCCCTGTTATATCCCTTTGAGATGTTTGATCCTCTTTGACTTTCTGATTATCTCTTGGTGCCACCATCAGTTTTGATTTCTATGTTTATTTCCAGTACCCAGGCTAGACATGGAAGCATGATTTCACCTAAAACATTTATTTTTTAATTTCACAAGGCTTCTGTCAAGTCTGCTGTCTTGGTTTCTCTTGCTCTCTCCCTCTGCTAATTTCTGAGTAAATTCTCTTGACCTCTCCGTCTAGAATATTTAAGAAGATGGAAAAACTGGTATTTGGGTAACTGATATACCCCAGCACCTAGCTGAAGGAAAGGTCTACAAAAAGGCTGAAGGGCATCATTTTTAGACATCTGATGACATGCAGTATGGGTTCAATGTGTGAAAGTTATCATGGGTCCCTCTGGAAGGTTCCTCTTGCCATATTTCTCCAAACTTCAATGGCCATTCAATTGTCTCTTCATCTCATTCCCAGAACACCCCCCTGGGAATGTAAGTCACAGAACACCATCTCAGCAAACACCAATTATTTTCCCTGATTTTCCTTTTATTCCTCAGCTCACTACATCTTTATTTCTAGGGTGATACCTAGCTCTTACCTTATCATACATGCTGCCCAAATCTAATTTTATGAAGTATATTCAGACTTTGGAACAGTCCTTAAAAGCGAGGCTTTCTCAATCTATTCTTCCTGTCTGGATTTTCAAGGTTATGCTTAGGGGAAAAAGCAAGTGAGATTGACATTGCTATGGTCTAACATTTCTCAAAGTAATAAATCTGAGCTGTACAAGCTATTATCTGAAATGTCAGAAATGATCACTGGGCAGAATAGAATCACAGACTGTTTTCACCTAAGTACTGCTGGATATAGGAAGAAAAGTCTCATAAAATTAATCCTTTTAAAATCTTGGCCAATATTCCACAGTAAGTGGAGAAAAGATATTTGTTTAGGACTTTACTTTAAAAAACAAAACTAAAACTTATGGAAATAAATGTTATCTTACACTTAACCAAAATTTAGTTATAATCACAAATGTGTACTAATTTTACAAATAATGAATCAAGTGTCAAGTGTTTTTCTTGGCCTTATTTTCCAGAAGAATAAAGTATAACTAGATACAACCTTTACTTAACTTTTGAACTCAAGGAATAATGATAATGAATATTAATAATGGAGCAATTTTGTAAAATGTCAGTCTCCACCAATTTTCCCAAGGGTCCCTCCTAATTTTTATTGTACAAATTCTTATCCATTGAATTTGTTTTTATTTTTCTCGTTTATTATGCACTTTTTAATTGTCCTAACTCTACCAGGTCCTATTTGTCAATGGGACTTTACATTTCCTACAAGTAGTTCTCCAAGAGCACATTCATCAACTATATGAAGTCTATTGCATCTTTCTCAAGATTGTTTCACACTGAATTTGAATAATGTTTACATGGTTACATGAAGAATATTTATTCTATACATACACCTCCATGCAAGTCATTTACCTCCCCTTTATAGACCATTCCTTCTTAGGATTATATTAATCCTCACTTAATACCCATTCCCAGCCCAGAAAAATTACTCTGAAGTAGACAATGCTTCCTGGTGCAGGTCTGCTTTATCAATGAACCAATTTCACCACATGAATTTAAATATTGCTTCATAAGTGATGCTGATTAAGTATCAGAGAAGCAGAATGTAATATCTATAGCCCATTCAACTCTAGAAATCATACTTACTGTTAAAACTTTAATTCAGTTTAATATTATAACTCTCAGGTTATATTTATAATCTGTCAAGATGGGACTATATTTGGGCTGCGTGCAGGGGAGAAAAAAAAACTCTATGTTTTAGTGGATAATTCTTCCTACATCAGAGCAAATAAAATATCTCCTTGCATACTTGGATGTCCCTGTATCTTGTATGTCTTTCAGAAATTTAAAACTAATATAATGAATTATATCTATTACTTTAACATTTTCTTTAATCTATTTATAAAACAAAATTTTAACTAAATAAATACATAATTTTTGTTTATTTTTCAAAGAAGGTAAGTTTGCTGGTGGATTGGGTTATTTCATTCCTTGAAAAAGTATTTGTTAAGATGTCTATAGCACCAAGGGCACCTGGGTGGCTCAGTCGTTAAGCGTCTGTCTGCCTTCAGCTCAGGTCATGATCCCAGGGTCCTGGGATTGAGCCCTGCATCAGGCTCCCTGCTCGGCAGGAAGGCTGCTTCTCCCTCTTCCAGTCCCCCTGCTTGTGTTCCCTCTCTCGCTGTCTCTCTCTCTGTCAAATAAATAAATAAAATCTTAAAAAAAAAAAAGATGTCTGTAGCACCAGACTGGGTATGTGAGGTAGTAAAGGAAGTATGCTGCAATGCAAAACAATATAAACATACAATATAGCACAGTAACTATATTTATTCAAAATATTTTAATGTGTATACACTTAATAAAGTCCTAACTTAGTGCCATCTTCTATAGCTCATAAGACATAAGTAAAAGAACATAGTAAAAGAAAAGGGAAAAGTAAAAGAAAACATGAGGGGAGGAGCAAGATGGCAGAGGAGGAATACACCTAAATTTCATCTGGTCCCAGGAATTCAGCTAGATAGTTATCAAACCATTCAGAACACCTACAAACTCAACAGGAGATCAAAGAAAAGAATAGTAGCAATTCTATGAACAGAAAAGCGACCACTTTCTGGAAGGTAGGACATGCGGGGAAGTGAATCCGAGGCAATATTCAGGAAGA